GATTTCTATTTCATACGTGACTGGCGATAGCTTCCTTACCACTACACCCTCTACTCTCTTATCCTTTCCTATCCTATAATCATCCACCATCACCGCATCTCCTACCTCCACACTGAATTTGCGCTTCCCGTCCACTGATCTAATTTGCCCCGCTTGTTTTATGTACACATTTTCATCTGCCGTAGGCTTCAATAAATCGAATCGCGTTCGCAATTCCCTCTTATACATCATCCAAGCCGGACTACGACCCGTCGAACAGTGCTCGGTACTACGATACTCCATCAGAAACAAATCCACTGCTCGTTCTAACGACACTCCCCCTTTCATAATTTTCTTTACTTTATCTTTGAACGTTCCAACAAAATTTTCCGCCGCTCCATTAGTTGCTGGATGTTTCGGTGGCGCAAAACTCTGCCTGATTCCATTTTCCTCCAGGAACTTTTTAAATTCTTGACTGGCATACTGTGGTCCGCAATCCGTTACCACATGTTTCGGTAACCCATGCCTCGAAAAAATTTTCCTAAATTCTTTTATAAGCCTAATTGATTGCGTACATTGTCCCATATCCACCACCTCTGGCCATTTTGAGTGTGCGTCTATTACAATCAAGAACATTTTACCCTCTACGGGCCCCAACAAGTCACTATGTATACGTTGCCATACCCTATCCGGCCAAGGCCAGGTTGACAGCGGCACCTGTTGTGGTTTTTTCCGCTCTCGCAAGCAAATCATACACGAATTCGCTACGTTTTCTATCTCTCTATCCAATCCTGGCCACCAAAAATAGGACCTAGCTATCATTTTCATTTTTACCACGCCTAAATGGGACGAATGCAACTCCTCGAGCACTCTAGTTTGCAAACTTTTCGGAATTATTACTCGGTATCCCCATAACACGCTGTTTTTCTCCGTATTTAACTCCACTCTTTTCCCCCAGTACGGTTTTTCTTCCTCTTTTAATTTACTTTCACTAGCGGGCCACCCGTCATTAACGTACTTGTAAATAATGCGCAACACCTCATCTCTCTGAGTCTCTTGACCTACTCTTCGGAAATCTACACAGCTTGCGCCTTCCGAAAAATAGTTTACAGTAGCGAATTCATTCTCAAAAACCCCTGTCTCGTCGCTTACTGGCAACTTTGATAGTGCATCGCAATTGCCATTATCCACCGATTTTACGTAACTTATACTATACTTAAACCCCGACAAATAGTATGCCCACCGCTGTAATCGACTTGCTATGGTCGAAGGTATTTCCTTGTTTGGCCCAAAGATATAGACCAAAGGCTTATGATCAGTTTTTAATATAATCTCCCGGCCGAATACATATCTGTAAAATTTTTTAAAACCGAAAATAATAGCACTCGCTTCTTTATCTATTTGCGCTCTACTTAATTCGCTCTTCGGAATTACCTTCGATGCATAGGCGATCGGCCTTTCCACTCCATCCCCGTATTCGTGCGACAAAATGGCAGCTAACCCATACGGTGAAGCGTCACAAGCCAGAATTAATTTTTTCGAAGGATCGTAATGCGCAAGTACTCGGTCTGATGCCAGTTCTTTCTTAACCCACACGAACGCTGTCTCACAGTCTGTACTCCATATAAAATCGCTATTTTTTTTTTCCAACAACGCGTATAAAGGTTTCATCTTTTCCGCCCTGTACGGCAAGAACCGCGCGTAGTACGTGATTAATCCTATAAACGCTTGCAACTGTTTGGTATTTGTCGGTCTCGGAGACTCTAACATTGCTCTTATCTTTTCCGGTGACTTTTTTACTCCATTTTTACTTATCACAAATCCTAATACGTCCAATTCCGCTTGGAATAACTTACATTTCCTTTTATTAACTCTTAAACCGCTTGCCTGTAACTTATCGAATACTTCATTCAACACTCGCAAGTGTTCTACTCTATTTTTTCCCGTACAATATATGTTGTCTAGGTACGCTACGGTGTTGCTTATTCCAGCCAACACGCCCTCCATTAATTTTTGAAATTCTCCCGGTCCTACACAAACCCCTTCCGCTAGTCTTGTATAACGTAGTAGCCCCCGATGCGTAATAATGGTTAAGCAATCCCTAGATTGCCTCTCTACCGCCAACTGCATATAAGCGTGAGCTAAATCTATTTCCGAGAATTCTTCACCCCCTTGAAGCACTGCAAAAATCTCGTCAAACAGTGGTAAAGGATACTTGTTCATTACTATATACGGGTTAACTGTTAGTTTAAAATTACCAGCCAATCTTACTTTGCCATCTTTCTTAATTATCGGTACTATCGGCGTTGCCCATTCACTCGTCTCCACTTTTTCTAAATGACCCAGCTTCAATAATCTATCTATTTCTTCATCTACTTTAGGTACTAACGCGAACGGCAAATGTCTCGCCTTCAATGCTATTGGTTTTGTTCCTTCCTTTAAAACAAGTCTGATCTCGCCTTTATTAAAGAGACCCGGTGTGTTTCCGAATAGCACAGGGTATTTAGCTGAGAATTGCTCCCATAATTCGGATTCCTCTATTTTGTTTACTTTGGCTACTATACTGGTTTGTTTTGGATAACTAAGCGGCCACATTCCGAAAGCTTCTAACCACTGCCTGCCTATCAGCGGGGGACCTTCTCCCGGTAATACGTAACACTCTAATTCCCTTTTAATACCATTTAGCTCAACCTTTAATTCCTTTAACACCCCAAGCGGATGTAATTTTACACTACCATAACTTTTTAATTTAAGCATCGGTTTCTCTAACACTAACTCCGGAAAATACAAATTCTTGTCCTTTTCCGACAATACCGTTAAATACGTGCCCGTATCTACTTCCATAACTAAATCTAACCTACCATTTAATTTCGCTGTTACAAACATCGGTTGCACACTCGATACATAATACATCTTCGGTTCGTGTTGCCCATTGCCGCTTACAATGTTTATAGGGAAAAAATCTTCGTATTCTGCGTCCAATTCCTCCGCTTCCTGCTTGACCTCCGACTGCTCCTCTTGCGTCAAAAACTTCAATTCCCCCTGCGCCTTTCTTCCTCTGCACGCTGCTTCCACGTGCCCCTTAACCTTACACTTCCTACACGTGCTGAATCGAAGTCGACATTCTCTAGCAAAATGATTTGGCTTACCACAGCAATAGCACAGTCCCCTAACTTCCGCTGCCTGTGCTTGACCTTGCCTCTGCTCATTTGACTTCAC